TGTGGGCGGGGCTGGTCCCACCATGGTACCTTTCCCATTGACGTGTCGCCTCCCCGTTACCATCTTGGAAAGGAGTGGCGCTCTAATAAACGAGGCATTATGGTACCCGGCATTCCCATGTTGGCCAGGATTCATCCATACGACAAGTGGAGTGTGCCTTCAAGGGAAATCATGTTGGAGAACTAGATTTTCTAATCACTTTTCTGGGTTTTCTACTTTTTTGGTTACCTCTCGCTGTTTGGTAGTTATTGCTTTGCGATTGTAGCAGAAGCCTTTGTAGGGTGAAAATCCTACTCCATCCCCTCCCACTTCCTGGATTCCTAAGTTAGTTGTCAAACCTGATCTTACTGCAGTGTGTGAACTTCTTTTATAGATTCCATATTGCAGGATGTGATCAAATGCTCACGCAGTCTGTTATGTGAAACAGTACATGGATTCCCACTGACTCAATATGCTGTAAATGGAAGTTATGCACGAAGTGAGGAACCGCTGGAATATGAAGAATTTGAAGGCACCAAAGAACAGCAGAAGACCATAGAAACTCCTGAAACTGAAACTGGCCGGCGGGACGATACTGAAGCTGACAACCAGGCGGGTGCTGCTGAAGAAGATGAGGACGACGTTGAGGGAAAGATAGAACTAAAGCAGACTACGGCACAAGAGGGAGCAAATGTCGGAAGTCGCCCACCATCCGAGGGAGGGAGAGGTAGTAAGGCTAGCGACAGCGGCGATCCTATCGCTGAAACAATGGAGCAAGATGGAACAGAAGGAGGAGAACCGCGGGTAAATGAGGCCAGGAATAATCCAGAAATCTTGTTAGAAAGCAGCCAACAGTCACCTGAACCTTCTGCCAAGTTATCAGAGACTGATGCTGCCGACGCTAATGCAGAGGAAGACGGAAAGAATAGCGGTGAAGGTACACCCTTAGCGGACTCTCCAACAGCAGAGGAAGTTGAACACGACGAGGGCGAGGATCGATCACATCTTGACGGATGAGGGAGCCCTGACACAATCCCGATGAAGCAGAAATTGATCGGCGTGAGGAAAACGGCCTTCGTCTCCGGTACGCTAATCCAATGTCGGTGAAGAGGAGAACAACGGCGACCAGAACTTTTCCGAGGGAAGAACGCCAGACAAAGAAAACGTCGAGATCCCGGAAGAAGGCGACGACGAAGGAGACGTGACAGGGTCCCCTTGCTGCCGAGCTCTCGGCAGTTCAATGAAGCTGATCAACAATGTCTGCGACGACGTCTGAGCACGAGAATGTGGATGACTCCTTCCCAAGGCCAAAGCTTGAATGAAGTTGGAGATCTCCCTCAACGGTATGAAGTCGATTTTTACAGTCATATGATTTGGCTCAAGCTTTTCTAAATGCTCCCCTCACCTTCAGTAACTTGGATCACAGCCACTGCAGGTTTCCGGTCAGTGCTGTGTCCAAGTAGTATTCCAGGAGCTTTCCAGAGGTACGTTTAGAGCTACCATAGCACGATCAGAAACTACGAATTTATGATTATCTTAAAGCAAACATGATTTGAGATTTAAAGCTTCCGCACTTGACTAATCTTTGCAGACTTCAGGTTTTAGCTGAACTCAACACAAATATCATATCCAATCACATATCAATACTGCAACCCGCACTCCGTTTGTCGTACAAACGGTCAGTTTTGAACGATTTCCCATTGATTAACTTGCTGAGAAGCTTGAAAAGCCTTCATGTGTGATTAACTCCATCTTTCGTGTGGAGCACGCAATCTGCTTGTAGTGCCTATCTGACGCCTAGGGCAGTGCGGGACGTCCCAATGATTCCCATGCCGCCTCGCGCCCTGCCAGGTTGCGACGACATCAACTATACCAATCCCTCTCCACAGATTCTCCATTCTACGATCCCATCTCCGATGTTGTGGACTGGAGGTGTGCTTCCAGTGAATTGGCAGCTTTGGCAAATTAATCAGCTATCTCGGAGTTGTTCACTCTTTTTGTAAAAGGACCATCCGATCGCCCTCGCCTCGCCCATTGCTTCAGCAACTTCCTCAGGTACTAACTAGTAGAATCCATCTCCCTTATCCAAGTAGTTCGTTTCCATATTCCCAGAGCTGCCCTCTTTGGTAGCTCAACAGTGCCTGATAGGGACACTGTGGCCGCCATTAGTCGGAGGTATCCCAAGGGGCTGAGGCTGCACCTATCTGTCGACGAGATACACCAACGGTCTTATATTTATGAATCACACATGTGACGCGATACCATTTTGGGAAGGACCAACCTTGCTGTCTCGCTCGTCCCCACCTGTCATCCCTTTTCTCGCCTCCTCTGCCAGTCTTTCGCTCGTGGAACAGTGTCTCGTTCCTTCGATCAGTCCTAGCCTGTGTCCGTATTTATGAGGTCATCAGTAGTCTGCTAATTCTTTATTTCAAAGTTGAGTCAGTAGGTATACAGGAACTCATGTTTAGACTCCAATGCCCACCAGTGCCCTTCACATGAAAGACAGGGATAAGAATAGGGTTACAGTTGAATATGCAGATAGTGGACATGCCGAAAAGTTGACTTTTCTCCTCTTAGGAAGGCGCAGTGGTTATTGGCCTCCGTCCATTACTCCGATCATTTAGCCAGCTGCGACTTTAACAAACAAAATTTTGCAGAAAAACTAAAAAATCATAGACGTAGCAAATCAAAGCGTTGATCCATATACGAACCACGTTTTTAAGGTACCCGTCCCACG